ACTTGTTAAAGAAGATAAACAGACTTTATTCAAAGGGGTCATGGCAACAGGTATAGGATATACTGCAATTTGGGTTTTGCTGTGAAAGAGAAATTGAACCTAACTCCTATTCCAACAAGTGGTGATTGACAACCAAGTGGAGGGGGCGATAGAAGGGTTCCTTTTCCTCCCTGCAGCCTTTCTAGCATTTGTTGTTATCTGATTTCTTGATAATAGCACTTCCTTCTGGAGCAATTCCTTCTTGGCCAGAGAATGTTGAACATTTTTCATGTAATTATTAGCCATTTATACTTCTGAGAAGTGTCTATTCATTTCAGTAGCACATTTTTTGATTGGGTCTTTTATTTGGGGGGGGTCTCATTTTTTTCAGTTCTTTATACATTCTAGGTATTAGTCCTCTGTCCAAGAAATAGCTGGCAAAAATGTTTTCTCATTCTGTAAGTTATTCCTTACTCTGTTGGTTGTTTTCTTTGTTGTGCTTTTTCATTTGATGTAATTCCATGTGTTGATCTTTGGTATTATCTCTTGTGCGATTGAGGTTCACAAAGTCCTTACCTATGTCTATGTTTTCAAGAGTTTTACCTATTTTATCTTCCAGCATATTGTGTTTCTATTTTAATATGTAGATCTTTGATCCATTTTGATTTTAGCTTAGTATGTTGTGAAAGATATGGGTTTAGTTTCAATCTTCTGGACGTGGATAGCCAATTGCCCCAGCATATGTTCAAGAGGCTATCTTTTCTCTAGCATTAAGATTTTCACTACTTTCCAGGGTATTACTACCTTCTATGATTTGGGGGAGTACTTTTTCCTTTCAATTTCATTAATGAGTTTGGTGTTATGTTTTTCCTAAAGTTCTTGTAGAATTTGGGAGTAAATCCATTGAGACCTGAACTTTTTAGTAGTTTAAAAAATTCTTCCATCTCATTGCCTGAAACTAGATAATTCAGGGCTTTTATTTCTTCTTTGTTCAGCTTTGGTTGTTAATATATATATAGGAATCTATCCATTTCTTCTGAATTCTCCTTTTAGTTAGAGTACAAGTTCTCAACAAAGTAACTAATAATCTTGTAGATTTTAGCATGGTCTGTTGTGATTGTTGCTTTTTAAGTTTCTAATTGCATTGGTTTGCATCTTTTCTTTCCTTTTTTGGTAAATTGGCTAGGGGATTATCTATTTTGTTTATTCTTTGAGAAAACCAGCTCTTTGGTTCATTGACTCTTTGTATTGCTTTTTTAGTCTCAATTTTATTAATTTCTGCTCTAATCTTTATAATTTTCTTCCATTTACTAGCTTTGGATTTGTCTAGATCTTGTTTTTCTAGAACTTTGAGGTGCATCACTCAATTATTTATTTGTTTTCACTCTTTTTTCTGATGTGGGCATTCACAGCTATAAACTTCCCTTTTAGGCCAGCTTTCCTTGTGTCCCATAGGTTCTGGTATGTTGTACTGTCATTATCAATTGATTCTAGAAACTCTAATTTCTTCCTTTATTTCTTTTGCGATCCTTCAATTACTCAAGTGTATAATGCTTAATTTCCATGTTTTTAACTAATTTCTTTTGTCATTTATTTCTTGTTTCATTGCACTATACTCTGATAATATGCATGGGCTAATTTCAGTTCTTTTACATTCACTTAAGCATGCTTTATGGGCTAGCATGTGGTCCATTTTGGTGGAAGCCCCATGTGCTCCTGAGAAGAACTTGTATTCCATTGCTGTTGGGTGGAACATTGTATATATCTATAGTATTAAACTCATTTGTTCAAAGGTTTGATTCAATTGTGATTTCTTTGTTGATTTTTTTTGTCTAATTGATCTGCCTGTTTGTGATAGTGGGGTATTGAGATCTTCCACTATAATTGTATTGGTGTTTATTTGATTTTTTTATGTCCATTAGTGTTTGTTTTATAAAGTTAGGTGCACTCATGTTTAGTGTATATATATATTTATAACTGTTATCTCTTTCTGTTGAATTATTCCCTAAACTAGTATGTAGTGACATTCTTTGCCTCTTCTGATCAGTGTTGGCTTGAAATCTCCTTTGTCTAAATTAGGATAGCTGATACTGCTTTTTACTGGGTTCTGGTTGCATGAAATATTGTTTTACATCTTCTGATTTTTAATCTGTGAATTTCTTTTTGTGTTAGATGTGTTTCTTATATATGGCACATCATTGTTGCTGATTTCCTCCCCTTCCAGCCTTTCTGCTTAATGGTTTACCCTGCCTGGGATATTCATTTTGGTAGGTGTGTGTGGATGTGTGTGTGTGTGTGTGTGTGTGTGTGTGTGTGTGTGTGTGTGTGTGTGTGTGTGTGACTGTTGGCTTCATTGTCTCTTTCAAGGATATCCTTGATAATTTTTTTGAGAGCTGGTTTAGTGGTCATGAATTTCTGGAGGTGCTCTTTGTCATGGAAACCTTATTTCTCCATCAATTTTGAAAGAAAGTTTTGTAGCATATTTAAGTCTGGGTTGGAAATTGTTTTCTTTTAAGGCTTGAAATTTTTCACTCCAAGCTTCCCTGGCCTTTAAGGTTTGTGTTAAGTCTGATTTCTTTCTTTCTTTCTTTCTTTCTTTTTTTTTTTTTTTTTTTTTTTTTTTTTTTTTTTTTTTTTTTTTCTACCAGGGATCAAATCCTTGCACTTGCAAGGCAGGTGCCGGAACCACTGACCTAAATCCCCAGCCCGAGTCTGATTTATTTCTGATGTGTTTGTCTTTGTACATAATTCAGTATTTTTTTCTAACAGTTTTTAAGAATCTATCCCTGTGTTGGACTTCTTGGATTTTGACTCTGAGGTGATGTCGAAAGAGGTAAATGTCTTTTTGATCATGGTTATTTGGGGTTCTGTCTGCCTTGCTTATCTGTATATTTAATTCTTTCTCAATATTTGGAAAGTCTTCTGCTATTATTTCTGTAAACCAGTTTTTTATGCCCTTTATGCTGTCTTTTGATTCTTTGCTTCTTCTAATAAACCTTAAATTAGTCTTTGTGTCATCTAGCAGCTGTTGAATCCATTTTTCATGTTCTCTTGTTATTTAAGATATGTCTGAGTTTGAAAGCATCCCTGTCTTCCAATTTGGTATTCTGTCCTCACGTTGCCACTTCTGCTGCCCATACTTTCAATATCGTTTTTAGTCTCTTGAATTTGTGTTTGGAACCTTTTCATGAACTCTAGTTTTGTGCTAAATGGTCATTCATGTTTCGTATCATTTTCTTTAATTTAACTAGCTTTTTTTTTTGGTACCGGAGATCGAACTTGGGTCCTTGCGCTTACGAGGCAGGCAAAAGCGGAACCACTCAGCTAAATCTCTGGCCCTTAACTAGCTTTTTATTAGTGTCTTTATTAGTTGATTGTTCTGTTTATTACCTCCTTTATCTAACACGCCCACTGAGCACTTTTTTTGTTGTTGTTTTTTTTGGTACCGGGATTAAACTCGGGTCCTTCCACTTGCAAGGCAGGCCACTGAACTGCTGAGCTAAATCCCCAGCCCATTGATCTATTTTTTAATCTTCTCTGTTTTTCTTTCAAATAATTTGGCTGTGTGGCTTTTGTTTTCTTCCCCCTCCATGGATTGGCTTTGGGGAAGTTGGGGGTTTTGATAGGTGTCTGTTGCCTTGTCCTCTCATGTTTCTGTTGCTTTATGTGTGTTTGTTTTATACTTAGGTATTTTGTTGCTTATAGTGGAAAGACTTTGTTGCTAGCATAGAGGTCTTTTTAGTCTGATTTTCAGTGATACATTCAGAGCATGGCTACCCATAGTCACTTGCCTCTATTCTAAGATCCAAGCACCTCTGTTAATATGAGAGGGGGGATGCAGTATAGTAGGCCTAATACCCAGTTCTCCAGAAATGGTCCATAGTATTGTTAGTTTCACAAAGGTAATCCAATATTGACATACAGGAAAAAAACTATTGATAAAACTATTCAACTCTGGAAATACTAAGTAAATCAGCAACAGTAATGTCATTCAAGACAAACTATATATTGATATACCATAAGAATGAATAATGTCCCACCCTTCACCTTAGAAAAGAAATATACAATTATAGTATAAACCCTCTAAACAAACCAAGTATTGACATACAGCAATATCTACTAAAGGTAATAACTATAACTCCGCTAATGATTAAAAAGCAGTTAAACTGTAGCAATGTAGAGTTAACTATCTAAAGATTAATAAAGCTTAATGGTTATACTATCAAAGATATAGGGAGTTGAAATGGAAAAATACAAAAGGGACAGTTAAGCAATGGGAGATGAGAAAGAGGACAGAAAAGTGAGACAAAGGATCCTATTATGTAGTAGAAGGGTATATCGAGAATTAGATAAAGCTTGGGCCAGGGATTTGATCAGCAGTTCCACCACCTACCTTGTAAGCACAAGGACCCAAGTTTGAGCCCTGGTAACA